AGGAATTATAACTTATAACTGTAGAGCTTGATGATGAAGTTATTACAAAAACAACTGTTCGCTTGAATATCCTTCATAGTAACTGATTCTCATAGATATTTATTATGGATTATCTTTCTGTAAGGATACACAATTAATGATTTATTTAGTATAGTTCTTTATGATTACAAATATTTGTTTACATTTATTATAAAGGTCGAAGGTTTGAGTCCAATGTGTGGGATCATGGTTTCATACTGCTGAGGAGTCCCATACTAGGATAAAACGGTCAGCTAGTGCTTCCAAGTTTACAATAGTGATCTAGCTTATATGAACTCATATATTCAAATGCTAAATACTACAATCTCCACAAAGCCCCATGATGACAATTAACTAATTAATCTTTAAGGGGTTTTTATGGATATTATAGTAATTTTAATGGTTGAGATTATGACTTAATTGAAGCTAGACCACCATGGAAAACCTGGAAGCACTAGATGGTAATTTCGTCCCATTTAAAACTCCTCAGCAGTGCGCATCCACGACCTTGCCTTGCGAGAATCGAACCAAGAACCTTTGAGTCTCGCGCGCGAGCGCTTAACCACTAGATCACTGACCGGCCGATATCCAACGGTATTAATGCCTAACTTCAACTAATCCACGTAATTGAGTGACACATTCACCATTGTCTTCAGTGAGTTACTATCTCACAACAGACCCGGTTGAACTCAACTGGTCATTGCTTCACACTAGAACTCCAGGAAATGCCTCTTGAAGTCAGTCACTAGTGAGCATATGTTGATTCATATCAGAAGGGTTTTGTGGATATTATAGTAATTTCAATGGTTGAGATCATGAGTCAATCGAAAATAGACCAGGTCTGTTGTGAGATAGTAACTCATTGAAGACATTGGTGGATGTGTCGCCCAACTTCGTGGATTATTCGAAGTTAGACAATAACACCATTGGATGCCAACCAGCTCAGTGTTGCAGAGGTTAGTTGCTTATGCGCGAGACTCATAAGTCCTGGCCTATAATCTCACGAGGCGAGGTCGTGGATACGCACTGCTGAGGAGTCCTACGATAGGAAGAAACGGCTATCCTGTGCTTCCAGGTTTTTCATGGTGGTCTAATTTCAATTGACTCATAATCTCAACCATTGAAATTACTATAAAATCCACAAAACCTCTTCTGATATAATAGTTTCTAGTTTTTAGACATGTTACTATATGATTATTCAATGATAAAATGTTGAATCTAACAAGACTTATCAAATATCGATTCCAATAATTATAGTCACCAAACATGTAACGGATAAAAATGTGAGCATTCAAACTAAACATATCATGTGATGATGACAAGCGATATGATTTGATCCGATAAGCCATTTCAAATGAAGTGATTTTTAAGTATATCATGAAGTAGTTGAATTCAATTAGATACCATCCAGACTAAATTATTCATTCTGCTTTTTTTCTCCATTCTATTAGGATGATTTTCAAGAACTACCACGGAGACTCTAGAAGCTCTAAAGAAGATAAAAAGTTTCCATTCAATCAGAACGTGATGGGGCTTTTTACAATATCAACGTAGTATGCTACTATTAGACATTAGCATAACATACCTCTTTGTGGATTGGTTGAATTATAATGTTGATATAACAAACACTAATATTTATGAATACCCATGATTTTCTGCACATTTTGATTCTTACCCAATAAACACTACTCCAGTATTCTTGTCTTTTAATTTGCGACTATGAGGGTTCTATACGTTCGAGTGTCGTAGTTGTATACTGTATTCTGAGTTAATCAAGTAGCGAGCATAACACATTCAAATGATATTAAACTAAACGTCTATAGAGTGACATCCTTTTATTATTGCAGCAAGAAGATAGAACTTCTAAATGACAGTTTCCATATCATACCAACCATTCATATACAAGGATACATAGACCAATGATTAGTGCAAAAGGTCTTTATAAATTTTATTTATTTATTTATTTGAACATGTAAACATTGGTACAAACGGGCATCGAATACATATACACCACACAAATCACTTGATTTGTGTGTGGGCTGTGATACTGCCCGTAGGCCCAGACCAAAGTAGGTGAATTTCTTAGGGAGCCACACCCAGAGCCTTCAACCTAATGGTCTAATTCACAAGGCAACGTCAGGAAATACAGTCTCATTGTAGTCAGTGTTCAATAATTGATTTATACTCCATTTGTTCCCTTAGGATCCTGGAGCCCATGTGAACCTTTGGTTTGGAATCAAAGCTTTCCAACTTCTCTAGGTGGACCCTTCGTGTCTACCAACTCGGTTAAAGCACTGGACACTCGATTTTCGTCCTCTCAATTTCGTAAACAACAGTAATGCCGCGAAAAGGCAGTGAGTAAGACTTCCCTGGTAGTGACTGTATACACACGGTCATGTGAAAGCAATTCGAGAGGGAGAGCTAACTCTCCCCACCCTCGGCCGTACCAGAACATTTGGGAGCACTTTTCTTTGGTAAAATCGAATAGAAGTCTAACAAGCGATCAGATCTCTTGGTTTCCATAAATGAGTAATCAATAATCTGAATTATGGTCAGTGGATAGAAATCAGGGCAAAGTTATTGTTCTTTCCTTTTTTCATTATCTTCAATTATTATCCCTACATTATTAAGCGGATTGACTGTCAGACAATTATCTTATCCAACTGATATTCTTCGCTCTCTTTTTTGATGACACAGTTGGAAAATCAATTCAATAAACAACATGAAATAAACAATATTTTTGCCTTATTTAAATTATTGAACATTGAAAAAAATATATTCGGACTGCAATTGATCGATCGCTTGTTGGTATATGTGCATCCTATGCGAATTGCCTCAATATAGCCTTAAGTCACAAGCTTTATAAGCAAAGATGGATGGTGGTGGCTAGCAATGGAATCTAGTCGGACACGCGTTCCATCTTATTTGCGACTCGTCAGCTAGATGCATCTGCATCTCAGTGTTGTTGTTCACTCTCGGACTCCAACTCAGCACCGCTCACTTCAAACACCGTCGTGTTGTCCACTTATCTACTGAAACCTGATAATATATTTGTGCGATACATTTCAAACAATCTGATCATACATAATATACTCGTTAAGAACTAGACTAGACTACATTAGAAATGAGGGTTAGAAGAAGAAAAAGATAATAAACAAGATCATATGAAAGACAATGTGGAAACTCATCACTAATATTACCAGGCTAAGGTTAACGTGAGAACAAACTGTTTTTGAATACACAGAGGAGGTTTGGATTCTCGTATGGTTAAGGATTCAATAACCCTTAGTATACGCCATTTGATACTTTTGTACAACACCACCAAAAGCTGAGTTAAGATCAATCATATGACCTGTTTCAATTATGTGTTTGACAATAGAGGATGATGGATGTTTATCCTCTACTCTTAATGGGTCATTTGATGATTCTATTTGTTTCTGCAATCATTTAGGTACATGTTCACACACCCTCATTTCCAGATCACGATTACCCCTCCACCTTATGTATGTGTAACCACACACATACAAACATTTAAATTGATAAACACAGTGGCATGTGACACTATTGTTTTCTTGTCTTTTAGGTTTTCGATGAAGCACGAACCTTGTTGTTTCCTTGATAATGACCTTCGCTGCACAATATGTCTTGTTAATGGCTGACTTAAGTTTTTATTTCAGTGAAAAGGTTATTTGAATCACCTCTGAATGGTAAGATGATGCAGATAGGATTTTTCTCTACCAAAGCTATAATAATTTTCACTGGATCATCAACTTTTTGAACCCGGATCGATTGTTTAGAAGGCAGCCACAATAACCGGTACAACACGGTCACGACTTCATGGGGTTGATGTTATGATTTTATCTAACAATTTTTTCTTACAATAAAAGAACTACAAGTCACGTCATTAATGCGTGAGCCGTGATACTGGCCGGGTGCTCAGACCGAAGCAGGTGGTTTTGTTAGGAGGCCACATCCAGAGCTTTTGACCTGAAGGTTTAATCCAGAAGGCAGTGGAACAACTTCAGGAGAAGTAATCGCATGGAATAGTTTCACATATGCCATTTGTTCGCTCAGGATCCTGGAGCCCATGTGCATTATTAGTTTGTATTAAGGGTTTTCTAACTCCTCTAAGTGGATCCTCCATATCAACCAACCCGAATAAAGCTCTAGATATTCGCTTTTCGTTCTCTCAATTTCGTAAACAACATCCCTAGCCACGAGAAGGCAGTGAGTGGGAAATGAAATCAATGTTGATGTTAACATGATCCTAGTACTAATATTTAAACTGGTATGAACTTGAGAAAGTTTATTTATTCATTGAATTAGCAACGTACATTATGTTGCAAAACGTTAAAAGAATTCAACCTACTACTTATAAGTGTGATGTGTGCTACTGATTTCGATAGATATAACTAATATGTATTATCAATCAGAAGTGAAATGCCTAAAATCATCAATTTAAATTTTACCAGTTACTGTCTATATCTTCATTAACGACTATTTGAAAGTCCATATATATTAGAAGAATGAATGAGATTTTCGTGATGAGCGGACGTCAGTTTACGATTTCAGATCACATATCGAGATTGATTAATAAATCTTTATGATTAAAGTTCTCTTCCAATCTACTTCTATACAACAAAACATGGCACGTCGAGGCAGTCGGTGGTTGGGCATACGTAACACGTGTCCCAGCCATCTCAACTGATGAAGTTTCACTACTTCATCAATGGATTTGCTATCCTTACCTAGTAACCGTTTCCTAACAACTGCGTTACTTACTCGATGGTCTCAGGATATACGAACAATGTTTCGAAGATACCTATAATCAAATACTAGTAACCTACGAATATCCTCTACTCTTACCGGTCATGTTTCACTGCCATTCTATTTTTTTAGTGACCATCTATCTAACTAACCACTTGGTCAAAGTTATCATGAAGAAAATTAAACAACTTTTTAAAAACTACATCCGTACTTACCATGAGCAGCTTCAAATATGCTATGAAGATGATATTCTTTACTTTCCTTCTGTTCAGTGATTCCACTATTACTAACATTATTATCATCATTAGAACTATTGGACTGGAAGAGTGATTGTTGACAAAATTCAATCAAATCTATATACATCAACCAAGGTGAACAATTGATCAATTCATGATATATATTACGATAGGCAGCTTCAGCATGTATTACATTTCGTACAGATTGATGATTTTCTGCAATAAGTAAGATATTAGATTTGTCAATCGACAATAGATCATCTAGTACTCCATGATCTTTTAACCAATGTGAAATCTGTAATGAAAATGTCGACAAAAATTACTGATATTACAGAGTAATATAAGTCAGAACTCGTTCATCAATCAAGATTAAATACAATAGATGGTTATAATGGAAGAATACTAGAAGGTATTCCAAATTTTTAAAAAAGAAAGTAAAGTACGTTGGAAGGAAGAAAGGTGGACTGTAACAAGTGGTCGGTCGGTGTCAAACTAGAGATAAAGATTTAAACTATTTTTATTGTGTTCCAGACGCTTCAATTTATCTCGTTGACATGGTCATTATTTCAATATTGAAATTGGAAGAATTAAATTTGGAATGTAAAGACATATTCACTGATTATTCATAGTTTCAACAGGAAACTCTGGACCTAGGTTTCATGCTATCTGGTACTCGTCAGCAAGATATACTTATAATCTTGAGGGAATTGATGCCCCATGACGGACTCGATCCCGTGCCATCCAACTCCACAGTCAGAGACGTTACCACTAAGCCATCCATATCCGACCTAGATTCAGGGTTTCCTATTGACTACCTCCAAATATCATCTTAGCGCAATATAATGAACACAACAATGTCGAGTCACCTAGACTGGTGGCCACATTGTAACTTGGTCGATAGGATTCGATCTGAACTAAGAAGGATCTGACATACATGACATTTGATCACTACCCCGTGGTGATTTCCCTGCAAAAAGCATCATCAAAAAATAGATTATTATTTACAACAATCAACTCGAGTCAAACGATTCAGCGTATACTAATTGTTGTTCATGTGATGAATAGATCAATATGAGAGTGCGTGAATAAAAAAGTATATTTTAATAGATTCAAACAGTATGAATGTACTTTTAATCGAAATGAAATAAATGATATTGAAAAGTTATACTTTACTTTGAACAGAGTACGTGCTGAAACTTTAGGACCTCATCAGTATGGTGAAAGGTTAATAATATCTCTTAAGGGTTATAATTTACTAGGTTCTCCGGTTCTTATTTAGACAATAACACTGTCAGATTCCGGCTCAATGATCTAGAGGTTAGGTGTTCGCTCGCCAGACCGATAGTTCTGGGTTTGAGTCCTGCATGCGGAATCGTGGATGCACACTTCTGAGGTGTCCCTTACTAGAACGAAACAGCTGTCCAGTGCTTCAAATAGTAGTCTAACATTGATCCATTCATGATATCGATTTAAATTCAACAATCTCCACAACCCTATACTGACAGTAACTAAATGTTGATTAACTTACTAAATAATGTAGATTTTATAAAGATTACAAACCGCTAGATTATAATTACTAACTTAAAAAATTCCAAACAAAATGTACAGTAGCTTTCATAGATATAATTATTTAGTCGAAATCTATTAACTTTCTTGTAATATGCAACATTGTTGATGGGCGGCCTATGCTCCTCCTTCACGAAAAGTAACAGTCATAAGTAAGTAATATGCAGCATTGACTACTGAAGCACTACAACTTAATATCTTTTTATTCAGTCGTTCATTGTTGTTGTAGGAAAACTTTCACCTAAATCAACTTACACGTACGGAATAACTACAATTCTTTATGTATAATTATATCAATTAAAATGTTATACCTAGAGCTTAAATTCCTAATATACCACGTATAACTTGAGCACTCGGTCCACGGGTGAACCTGAGGAAGCTTTAAGAAGCTCAGAAAGGGACCAAGATATTCCATCCCCGTCGCCAGTTGTTATATTTAGAGCTTAGATGCTTAATATACCATGTATAACTTGAGCACTCGAATGCTAGAACACTCCCAAGTCGCAAATGAGAAGACAGAAAACAAGTGAAAGGAATGTTATTCCAATCAATGTCAATTATAGTAAAAAACTGTCAGGTATTTATAGTTTTTTTAGTGAAAATGAAATCATCATTATAGTTATCCAACCCGCACACAGGGGGTTCTTAGCATTTGTCCAATAGGGAAGCTACACATGGTGATTCTGGAATATTCTTCCAAGAAAGCTGATTGGATGGAATATCTTCAGCTCTTTTTGAGCTTCTTAGAGCTTCCTCGAGTTCACCCGTGAACCATTCTCACATAAAAAATAAAATCTTATTTAATATTTGAGAAGATGATTGTATCATTTATCGATCAATTGAGAAACGTTCACTATAAATAAAAGATTATCTCACCTTAATGATTGATTCTTTAAAGCTTAAACCTTGTATTTCATATTCTGAAATATCCGGTAAACCAGCAGCTTCTAATGCTTCTGTAGAAATATTCACACCATGTATTGTTGAAGTGTATTTAGTTGATTCAACTGAAGGGATAAATTTCCCTTTTTTACTAGGTGGTAACTCATTGATTTTATTATTGCAACCATTACAATGAGATAGAAAATAAGAATCTAATTTCAATTCATGATTGGTGCTAATATTTGATTGTAATTGAGATTTATGATTGATTAGATCTACAGAAGATCGATAGATTCGTGTAAAGTTTTCAGGGCGAATAGAGATTTTGATCCGATCAATAATCTAGAAATTTGTGAAGATAATAAAAAGAGATAAGTTTTGCAATGTACAATGGGTAGTTTGAAAATAGTTGACGAAAGTCATTGACTTTGACATTTCTTACTTGTCAAAACAAGGGCCTCAATAAATGTAGAACAATGGAAAATATCACATTGATTTATGTTGTGATTCCCTCAAAACTTCGAGGCAACTAGATTATACATCAGAATGAATGAAAATAACAACTAATGGAAATATCAGAACCAATTAGAGTAATTGAAAAAGAGAATATGTCTGCCAAACCAAAATGTGGCATCAGTGCTTGAAGTCACTAACTTCTAGTCTTAGGCATGTTGATAGATGAAGACTATTTGGTTGGGGTCCGCACGACTATCGTAACCAATGGTTGGAGACTCTGGGTGACATGGCTCAGAATCAATCAGAATGGCGTAGGTGTATACACTCTCTGTTTTCCCTTAAACTATGAGATTAAAATCGCTTTATATCGTTCTTTCTATGAACTAATTCCTTCTTTCTGTACTATATCCTTATTTGGAATTTTTCTTTTATATATTACCACCATTGAGTTAATTGCTGTTATGAATCCGGTGTTCGTCTTGTTGTGCAAATGAGGTATGGCAAGTTGGACCGATGCATATATGTACCTGATCCTACGTTGTAACTAATGAACTAACTCAATAAAATACAGTACTCTAAATGACTGATATCAAGATTGGTTGATTATGAGTAAAACAGTTACATCTTGATGTACTCACCTTATTAACTTTTACTACATACTACACATAATATGTATGAACTATTACAGTCTGATGCTGTCTGTTTTCTAACGACAGATACAAATCCACATATTCATCGCGTTATTCATAATATTTAAACAAAATTATTTAACTTCCAGTATGGGATTGTAAAGTGTGATGAATTTTATTAGAATCATGAATCGATCAATGTAAGACCACCGCTAAAAATCTAGAAGTACTGGACAGCAGTTTCGTTCTAGTGTGACACTTCTTAGCAGTATGTTTTCATAATTCCTCACGCAGGATTCGAACCCAATGATCTAGAGGCTAAGCGTTTGCACAAAACTGGAGGTCCTGGGTGTGAGTCTCGCATACGGAATTGTGTATGTTTACTGGTGAAGATTCTCATATTAGATAGAAACAGCTATCCAGTGCTTCCAGATTTTCACTGGTGGTCTAACGTTAGTCCGTTGAAGGTTTCAATGAAAACTATTTAAATATTCTATTTCTTGGATGATGGTTCCACTATTGAGATATCTCTGTATCCGGTAATCTGAAACTTGATTCACTGTAAGTAATTGATTTTTAAAAGTATACTAGATATGATTCAAGACATATGATTGAAATCATGAGTCAGTTGAAGCTAGACCACCATTTAAAACCTGGGAGCACTGGACGGCCGTTTCGTCCTAGTATGGGACTCCTCAGAAGTGCGTATCTACGATTAAATAAAGTTAGACATTAACACCGTTGGATGCCGGCTCAGTGATCTAATGGTTAAGTGCTCGCGCGCGAAGCCAGTAGGTCTTGGGTTTGAATCCCACGGGGTGCGGGATCGTGGATGCGCACTGCTGAGGAGTCCCATATTAGGATGAGACGGCCGTCCAGTGCTCCCAGGTTTTCAATGGTGGTCTAGCTTCAACTGACTCATGATTTCAATCTGTGAAAATTTCTAAAATCTCCACAAACCCCTTCTGACAAGATATATGAATTGAAATGTGCAGTAGCACATTAGTGAAATTCATCTGGATTGTATCCAACTATTGATTGTATTAAGTTCAGAGGATCGTAGGGAATGATAAAGCCTAAGTAGTTATATCTTTTTTGTCATCAAATAATATTATATAAGAGCTATAAATTATCTGTAGAATGCTTCTAAATGTCATTGATAAATCAATCATTTGTGATATTACATTTCATATGACTATGAACTATTTGTGATCCGTTCCAAAGTTGAGTATGGATTTTGTGAGTTAAAGTAAATGCTAAACCAATAAATATTATCTACATTCATTTGATGTTTTTTTTTGCTTATATCTTCCCAATGTTGTTTATGATTGCAATTGATCAGTCTCTTATTGGCATATATACATCCTGTTCTAATTTTCCTCGATATTGCCTTAAATCAAAAACGTTATAGGCAAAGATGAATAGTGGCATAGTGGCGATGGAATCCAGGACACGGGTTTCGTTCTATTTAAGACTCATTGGCTGGATGAGTCACAAATTCCAGAATTGATATTCACTTTGAGGCTTGAACACAGTGTCGCTCGCTTCAAACGCCATCGTACTACCCACTTAGTTACTGAGTATTGATAACTAATTACTTGTGCAATGGGTTGAAGTCTAAATTCAATTGGTATTGTTTACTTGAAACGTTTATACATTATTTGATTCTAACAAGTTTAGTTGATATGCCAATAGATCATTAATGAATGTGAGTAAACACATCGATAAGGATACGTAAGAGTACGTATATAGACCTCATGGAAAATATATATGACGAAATAAAAAGAAAAAAAACCGCTAAGCTAGTCAAGCAACTAAGGTATCTATTTGTTTTGTTTTTTTTAAGTGTTCATAATAACAAGTTTAATTTTAGCTGATGTTCATTATGAGCCAATGAACTTGAGATGATCATTCAATAAAGGTAGACATTAGCTTGCAGTACAATTCAGAACGTACGTTTCATTCTATGTGGTACTTATTATCCAGCTTTACCTGTATGCATTACTTGTTACTATTCAACTTTAATAAAAACGTGCGACTAAATGATATAATCAAGGCAATACGAGAATGGATGTTTGAATACACCTATTTCGTACACCCAATAATCTAGGGCGGGCTGCTTGAGCATCTGGGCTACCTGTTCCTACCATCTAAATATTTCAACAAGTTATCTGCTTCTTTGTTTGTTTTAATATATCATTATGTCTATTAATCGCATGACGTATTCTGCTGCGTTTCTAAAACGTGTACAACCTTTCGTTGTCAAAGTTACAAAAAGCTCAATAAGAGACAATATGGTTGCTGGCATTATACAACGAAAAGAATGTACATTATTCAGATGTTCATTTACTGGACTGTTAACATCTAGCTGGCGATCACTCAGTATTTATCGCCAGGACCGACCAAGAAGAAAGAAACGGAAACTTGTTGAAATACTTTGCGCTGAGAATTCTATATTGTACCAATAATATAATATTGAATTAAGCTAATAATAATGATAGTAATAATAATAATAATAATAATAATAATAATAATAAAGACAGACAATCAGAAGGATGAAGCGAAGGAAGCGAAGAGAAGAAAGAGAGAAACGAAATGACGCACAGTGAAGAACGCATGTACTTCAAGTTCATTTAATCAAGCAGTAATCAATATTTAGTCACACAATAATAAGCTACAGATATATGATGAGTAGGAGTTAGTTGATAAGTGAATAATGAATAAGGTCTAAACGTGACTACTTAAAAAGATTAGATAAATTGACTTGTCCAGAAGATAGAATACGGTAATGTGGGTTTCACATTAGTAACCAATACTACAATCAGCATATCTTTTTGTTGTTGTTGTTGTTGTTGTTGTTGTAAAACATTGAACACATTACAGAAAGACTAACAATCTAATTGTATTTACAAAATAAAATATACAGTTTAAGGTACAATATTTATCCAACTAAACATTTAATCAAATCATAATCAAAACTAATTAACAGCTTGTGAATGAGATGATAATTTATAGACGACGTTTGAGCAACGCTAGACTATCTTTATGAGTGTCCACCTACTTACTAGGATCAAATGAGGATTACAAACCAGTGTGTAAGGAATTAAAATTATGATTTACATTTGATGGTTAAGGTTAGGAATTACATTTCGAATTTTCATCATGAAATGATATCAGCTATAATGCTAAAACTCTATTTAGCTAAATGAATGAGTGAACTTCGCACCAACATCCAAGATCTGTTACCTTATACCTGATTGGTTCGTCCATAAATTATAATCTTGCCAGCTTCTATTCAATTATCAAGAAATCAAACACATCAGTTTAACGGTTGTGGATATTGTTAAGCTTTTTTTGGTGAGATCATGAACCGATTGATGTTAGACCACCACCATTGAAAACCTGGAAGCACTAGATGGCCGTTTCGTCCTATTGTGGGACTCCTCAGCAGTGCGCATCTACGATGCCACTCGTGGGATTCAAACCCAGGGCCCCCAGTCTCATGTGAGAACGCTTAACCTACTGAATCACTGAGTTGGCCAACATCCAATGGTGATAGTGTTTAAATTCAACTAGTCCATGAATTTGCGCTACCATCTTCCATTGTACTGAGGTAGATACCTGTCTCTACCCAACATGGATTAGCTCCATTATTATTATTAGCTTTATTCAATAAAATATTTTTGGTACAACATAGAATTCTCAACGCAAAGTATTTCAACAAGTTTCCGTTTCTTTCTTCTTGTTCGGTTCTGGCGATATATATTGGGTGATCGCCAGTTAGATGTTAGCAGTCCAGTAAATGAACATCTGAATAATGTACATTCTTTTCGTTGTACATTGCCAGCAACCACATTGTCTCTTATTGAGCTTTTTGTAACTTTGACAACGAAAGGTTGTACACGTTTCAGAAACGCAGTAGAATACATCATGCGATTAATAGACATAATGATATATTAAAACAAACAAAGAAGCAGATAACTTGTTGAAATATTTAGATGGTAGGAACAGGTAGCCCAGATGCTCAAGCAGGCCACCTTCTCACTAGAACTCCGGGAATTCCCTCAGGAAGCTAGTCACTCTAATGAGCACATAGTGATTATCCATTTAGTTAGATAGATCTACATATTACAAGATCAGATCATAAAATTCAATATTGACCATATAAAATTGAATTCAAATGATTGAAATAATAAAAAAAAGATGAATGATTCAAACAAAATGTGACCTAATTGAAACATTGACATTACAATTAAATAAATAAATGAAAAGTAATGACATGCTGTTTTATACAATCAATTTATTGATTCAATCTCTATATATACAATCTATTAACCACTTGTCTATTATCTTTGTCACAATTTCATCACTTAATATACATCAATATTGAAGAGATTTGATTGACTTATTATATATATATATATAAAGTTGAGAATAAATGTTCTCTTGGTGAATTCCTATGTTGATGAAACTATTATGACTATTAAATAAACGAAATCAAAGAAGGGTTTACATCGATATTATTAGTGAGTTTTAATCGTTGAGAATATGAGTCAATTGAAGCTAGATCACTATGGAGAACTTGAAAGTATTGGATGATTATTTCGTTCTAGTATGAGACTCCTCAGTAGTGTGCATCCACGACCCCAGTCCACGACATTCAAACCCAGGACCTATGAGTCTCGCACACGAACGCTTAACCACTGAGCAGTCATCTAATGATGTTAATGTCTAACGTCAACCAATCCACGTCCCATACTACAACGAAACAGCCATCCAGTGCTTCTAGGTTTTCTATGATGGTCTAGCTTCAGTTGACTCATGAATAAAACTATTAGGTGACGAAATGTCAATCAAACCATTTTTTACATTTTCTGTAAAGCATTCAATTTAAACTTGATTTGAACACCTAAAAATGTTCTGTAGGGCCTCTAATTTTATTCACAAATACATAACTAAAAAAGAAAAAAACTTTCATAAAACCTTATTTGTGAATTGCTTCGACGCTGCCATTAAGTTTAAAGCATTCTAAGTAAAGATCGATAGGAGTTAATAGTGGAGTCCAGGGAGTACTGGGTGCATAACATGATAGAGTTTTAATTAGAAGATACTGGATTTGAGTCATAAAGTGATTATCAACTCTGGGATTCAGGTACATCTGGCTAACCAGTCTCAAATAAGACGAAACGCCTGTCCTAGATTCCACTGGTAGTCATTATACATTTCAGATTATTTATGTTAGAGTAAAGTATGTAGGGTTGCTTTTCACTAAGTCAACTAAGTCAATGTTTTGTGATTTTCGACTAACTATATACCAATTATCATGGTATCACCTCCATTCTATCTAATTATAATGTGGCTTTGACAGTTTAAGTTTATGGAACCGAAATTCTTACGATATAACCAATGAATGTGTTGAAAGGGATGTCAAGAGTCAAACACAACACAGCACTCAACAAGATTTCTTCTTGTTTCTAAAATACCCATAGCGATTACACATGTGATTATACAGAACTGATACAGAATTCGGTAAAAAAATAATAATATGTTCACACTAGTAACTAGCTTCAAGATGGGTTTTTTTTTAAGTTTGTAGCGACCTACTTTTACCAAGAGAACGCGATTGGTGTTATGGAAACAATTATTATTATTATTATTATAAGCAATTGTACTACGGGTTGTTTTACCGTACTTGTTTGTTTAACTGTACCAAAATACATACATTCTTCCATTGATTGTGACCTTGCATGAATTCCGTTACGCTCAGTAACCACACTTGTACTCCTTTCGCACGATCTCGGTATTCTTTCGATACCACGAGATCGCCAACAAATACATCTCGACTATAGCCATCAACTGACTTCTGATATTTGGCTTACGGGGGATCTTATCAGTTAACTAGCACGTAGTCTTCCTGTAGTGGTGATCATAGTCAACTGCAACTCGACACCACACAACAAGTTCTAGTGAAAAGTCGTGATCAATGGATTCGAATTCGTGTCAAGTGTGACACAATCGATGAAGGGTTGCACAAGATTATGAATCGATTGAAGTTAGACATTAACTCCGTTGAATGTCAGCTCAGTGATCTACAAGTTAAATGTCAAAGATTCATTCTATTTATCTGTAAACTTAATACATCAGAATTAATGCAGAATTCAATAGACACTATTTCAAACATTAAACTAATTTTAAAAAAATACTTTGATTCAACTTACTTTATTCTCATAAAAATCACCTAATATTCCATTGAATTGAATAAGTGGTGTTTGATCAGATCCTAATTCAATGCCTTGTTTACCAGCTGTTACCACAGTAAATACAAGCCAATATTGAAATTCATGTTTTGTTTTTATATTATCAGTTATATAATTTAAACTGTGAATAGATGATAAACATTGTCGTTTGATTTGACTTGGTCCATCATTATCTTCATTGATAAAATTGTCAGAATATCTATGCTTACGATTTATACACATTTCAATAGTTTCATCTGAATGCTCTGAATGTGGTAAATTCTCTGATTTGATCAAATTAACTGTATTATTCATATTTGTCATTATCTATTCCTTATTCTGATGTTGAATATCCCTTCGAGTTCTGAAAGTAAGAAATAATCGAGTGAATGTTGAGAAATGAATCAAAATATGAAAATAAATATTATCTGAATGAAGAATAATACATAATAATTTACTTTAAAAAGAGTTTAGTTATCTAAGACATTCAGGAACTTCAAATTTTTAAGTGATGCAGGAACTTTGAAAAACATAAAATTAGTGACTAATTAACTGTAATTAACATGTGCTCATTAGTGACCAGCTTCGTGAGAGAATTCTCAGAGTTCTACTGAGAAGCCACGACCAGTGGAGCTAATCCATGTTGGGTAGAGACAGGTATCTACCTCAGTACAATGGAAGATGGTAGCGTAATTTCATGGACTAGTTGAATTTAAACACTATCACCATTGGATGTTGGCCAACTCAGTGATTCAGTAGGTTAAGCGTTCTCACATGAGACTGAGGGCCCTGGGTTTGAATCCCACGAGTAGGATCGTAGATGCGCACTGCTGAGGAGTCCCACAATAGGACGGAACGGCCATCCAGTGCTTCCAGGTTTTCAATGGTGGTGGTCTAACATCAATCGGTTCATGATCTCGATCAATAACTGTAAATGTCCCAATCCTATAACAGATCATACTGGGAATCTGCGTAACCTGGTAGGGTATCATCATCTAGAGAGCTCCAGCTCTTTCATGGTCACATTGTCATCTTGCTGTTTAGCGTTACAGAACATGTGACCTAGGTCAAGATCTTCCTATCGGTAATCGGCGAGACTATAATTTATGGACAATCTTAGAACGAAACTCAAGTGACCTAGAGAACTGTTAGCCAATCAGAAAACAGTACAGAGTAAAATTATATTATACAAAAGCATAGAACTAAGGTGGATACACTTATTTTAAATGGTTTAAAATTTGTTAAAGTTAGAAAGAGCTTTAGAGGTTTTAAAATCGTAATGCAATATGGTAGAGGAAATCATCAATATGGCTACAGAATAGTCGACCTCTGGAGCCATGATAAAGTCTCAAAAACCCTTTTAGCCTCGACTACATAGTCCCGATATTGTTTATGTGTACTTCGGCTGTTGAATGCACAAAATGCTACTTGTGGATAACGACACGATACACATAACCAAGCTTATGTAGGAGTCTGTACGCTCTCCAATCATCCGTATATATTGTAGTACCTGGCTGCATCCAGTGTTATTGGTGCTTTTATTATCCAGTTCACAATAACTGTCATAATTTTCCTTATTCTCAATCAAGCGAAAAAATCCTATTCTACCAGACCTTTTTCTCGAACACATATTACATTGAAAGACAACATCATCACAGTAGTCTGCACAAGGTCTACAACTCATTGGACTACCACAAACACAAATAAAGGAACTTCTTAGTAATCCTATTTGTTGCATCCACTCAGTTTTCACGTTTTCTCTAAAATCAGCTGTGAACCAGTTGTACGTGATCATCGGGTGCTAAAATTGACGTTGTAACCTAAAATTTCTTCAAAACGCCTCTGATTGGCTCGTCCATAAATTAGAATCTCGTCGTTACCTTTCAAGAGAAAAAAAAACAATTAATACATCTACTGGTTTTAGCGCATATCGAATACGTGATGAAACAAGTGTCCAGTACGTTTAGCTTTCAATAGTTCTTCAAATGAAGCTAGTCTATGATAAAAATTCACTTTATATTGACTAAATCTACAAAAGAAACAATTAAACGGGAAACATCAATGCTTACTTAAATAATGGAAAAAATGAGTGATTCGATTAAGTATCATGTCAATATGGAACGTTTCTGAAGTTCAATAGTTTCAAAGCACGACGGAAAATAGTGGGAATTAATTTTGAATGGAATGGTTGAACATTTATCCGCATTTCGGCAAAAATAACATATTTTCTCACTAGTGACTAGCTTCAAGATAAGTTTTTTTGAAGTTCTAGTGAAAAGACATGACCAATGGAGTCTAATTGATGTCGGGTGTGAGACAGTTATCCACCTTATACAATGTATGAAGGGTTGTATGACATCATGAATCGATTGAAGTTAGACATTAACACCATTGAATGTTGGATCAACGTTCTACAGCTTAAATGTTAGCGAGCAAAACCGAAGGTCCTGAGGTTTGGAGTTCCACATGAAGGATCGTAAATACGCACTACCGAGTAGTCCCATACTAGAACTTAACAATCTTTCAGTACTTCCATATTTTTTATAGTAGTCTAACTTTTAATCAACTCATGAATTCAACTACAAAAAAATAACTTTATTCAAATTTTAATCTGATCATGATTATGTTGGGATATTTCATGGTATACCAACCATAATCAAATACCTTTATTATTATTATTATTATTATTATTATTATTATTATTATTATTATTATTATTATTATTAGATTTATTCAATATTATATTTTTGGTACAACATAGAATTCTCAGCGTAAAGTTTTTCGACAAGTTTCCGTGTCTTACTTCTTGGTCGATTCTCACGATAACATATTGAGTGATCGCCAGTTAGATGTTAACAGTCCAGTAAATGAACATCTGAATGATGTGCATTCTTTTCGTTGTATATTGCCAGCAACCACATTGTCTCTTATTGAGCTTTTTGTAACTTTGACAACGAAAGGTTGTACAATTTTTTAGAAACGCAGTAGAATAGGTAATGCGATTAATAGACATAATGATAGATTAAAACAAACAAAGAAGCAGATAACTTGTTGAAATATCTAGATGGTAGGAACAGGTAGCCCAGATGCTCAAGCAGGCCGCCCTTGTTGAATTGACGTGTAAAATATTTATGATCATTTCAACAAATTTCACTATTACGCATAATGCTGACTAGTGTTGGGAATGATTGAAAAAAAGTTAGGAGGGGGTGGCAACATCAAAACGAGGGCATCAGTCGTTCAAGTCACTAAATTCTGATGTGAACCATGTTGATAGATACAGGCTACTTGGTTGGGGTCCCCATGACTATATATATAACATATTGATGAAAAGTAGATCATCATTATTATATTGTTTCACAGATTGAAATCATGAGTCAGTTGAAGCTAGACCACCATTGAAAACCTGGAAGCACTGGACGGCCGTTTCGTCCTAGTATGGAACTCCTCAGCAGTGCGCATCCACGATCCCGCACCCCGTGGGATTCAAACCCAAGACCTACTGGCTTCGCGCGCGAGCACTTAACCATTAGACCATTGAGCCGGCATCCAACGGTGTTAATGTCCAACTTCAACCAATCCATTTCAGGTTTTCAATGGTGGTCTAGCTTCAACTGACTCATGATTTCAATCTGTGAAATTTCTAAAATCTCCACAAAACCCATTCTGATATTATATTGTTGTTTATTTTTGTGCTTTTTATCTACTTTGTTTATTTTTCTCATTTTCAATAAATGACCTTATCAATTATTATTATCATTATCATTATGATCAATTAAGAAACTTAATTTTTATTGTTTTCTATTCATTATTGATTTATTGATTAATCGATTATTACATAATGTTGATTAGTACTAAATAAGGACATAATAAATTAAAATGTGTCATGATAACCTATTTAAAAAATATTAGTGTATTCAAATAATTGATCGATTAATTAATTAATTGATCGATTGATTGATTGATTAATGTTAACATCAATGTTATTCATTATCAATATCATTTCATCTATTTAAATGATACTGTAAAACAAAACAAAATTGTATAATTTGTGCTACAAACACTTCAACTTGAATCAAAATAAATGAAAGAATAATTTAATGTCAGAAGAGGTTTTGTGGATATAATAGTAGTATGTTGATATAATGAATCAATTGAAGCTAGACTACCATGAAAAACCTTAAAGCACTGGATAGCTGTTTTGTCCTACTGTGGGACTATTCAGCAATGTGCATCCACGATCCTGCCTGCGAAATTGGAACCCAGGTCTCGTGACCAGTGGGGCTAATCTGTGTCGGGTAGAGACGGGTATCTACTTCAGTAAAATCGAAGACGCTCGAGCAATTTCATGGATTGGTTGAGGTTAGACATTAACACCATTGGATACCAGCTGGTTCAGTGTTCTAGTAGGTTGAGTGTTCATGCGTGAGATTGAAAGCCCTGGGTTTGAATCCCACGAGTGGGATTATGGATGCACATTGCTGAGGAGTCTGACAATAGAACGAAACGGCCATCCAGTGCATTTAGGTTTTCAATGGTGCTTTAACATCAATCGGTTCATGATTTCAATCAATAACTTAATAATCTCCACAACCCTATACTGATAATTACCATGTTCTCACTATTGACTAGCTTCGTGAAGAAATTCTCGGTGTTTTAATGAGAAGCCGTGACTATTGGAACTAATAAATCGGTTCATGATCTGAATCAATAATAATATAATAGTTGAATAGATGAGTTGATATAAACTAAATCATCATTTAAAACTTGATAGCATTAAACAGCCGTTTTCTACTAGTATAGGATTCCTCAGCAGTGCGTATCCACTGTTCCGCATGTGGGATTCAAACTGAGAACCTTCACTCCTGCTCACCAACACTTCACGTGTAAAGCACTACTGAGTCGGTATTCTTCAACAGTGTTAATATCTAACTTCAATCAATTTATAAATTTTGCACAACCCTTCATCCATTGTCTCTGCGATATGATACCAATAAGTATACTGTCGTTCAGTATTTAAGTAATTTTAAGAGAACTGTACTCATCAAGTGTAAGACATAAGTATAAACTCATAAATGGAAACGGAGCTTAGAATATTTACTTAATCATAGATTACTTATCATTATTTATTTATTTAAACACAAATATTGGTACAAGGAGGCACCAAATACATATGCGCCACATAAATGATTTGATTTGTGTGAGGGCCATGATAATACCTGGGTAGCCAAACTGAAACACGTGGTTTTCTTAGGGGGGGTACACCCCGAGACATTGACCTAAAAGTCTGATCCACAAGGCAGTGGAGCAACGTAAGGAGATGCAGTCTCATGGCCACCGATGACCAACGACAGATTCATGAGCCATTTGCTTCCTTACATTTTGGAGCCCACGTACACCACTGGTTTCGAATCAGGGTTTTCCAACTTCCCTAGGTGGATCCTCCAGTCCACTAACCCGGTTAAAGTGCCGGACATTTCGTAAACAACGTTAATGCCGCGAGAAGGCAGTGAATAAGATTCCTCTGGCAGTGGTTGTATGCATGTGGTTATGTGAGAGCATTTCGAGAGGGAGAGCTAACTCTCTCCACCCTCGGTCGTAATAGGGCATTTGAAGGATAATCATAGATCGGAACCTATTGACAATTCACTTGCTTAATCTTATATAGTTTAATACAGTTTAATGATAGAGAGTAAATCACATATCACCAATGTTAAATCTTAATTCAACGAGTTATATTTTTATAAATTTAAATGATTAGAATTAAGATATCACTGACATAGGCAATCATAAGTATCGATTCTCTCCTTCATAACACCCATTCTCATATATAATTATGGACTTGAATAGCATTGGTGAATAACGGAATCAAGTTAGTCAAATACGAGAATGGATTTTCGAATATACATATTGTTGTACACTCATTGATCTAGACAGATAATCAGAGGGATGAAGCGAAGGTAGCGAAAAGAAGAAACTGAAGTGAAATGACACACAGTGGAGAAGTCATGTGAGACAACTAGATTTAATCAAGCGGTAATCAATATTATTAGTCAAACAAAACTAAGTTACAAATATGTAATGAATAGGATAAGAAGTAACTCCACCTGGAGTCCCTACGGGGGTTACTGCCGGTCCTAAGCCCGGATAAAGGAGGAGGGTTGGGCATGGGGTTAGCGACCACATCCCGTAGAAAACTAACTCGCTAAAAAAACGCTTACCAGAAAGTAAGTAAGTAAGTAAGGATAAGAAGTGAACACTCACACATGCTCATTTAAAAACAATCAAGGTTGATAAGTGAATAATTAACAATTTCAAAACGTGACTACTTAAGAAGAATAGATAAATTGACTTGTCCAAAAGGTAGAATAAGGTAATATATGGGCTTAACATAATAACCAACACTATAGATTACCACCTACATGGTTCCTTTATAAGAACTTCTATTACATATACATCTTGACTTGATTAGTTTATTTATTACTAGTATAGGCGTTGTGGAGATTATTAAGTTATTGATTGAGATCATGAACCGATTGATGTTAGACCACCACCATTGAAAACCTGGAAGCACTGGATACCCGTTCCGTCCTATTGTGGGACTCTTCAGCAGTGCGCATCCACGATCCCACTCGTGGGATTCGAACCCAGGGCTTTCAATCTCGCGTGCGAACGCTTAACCTATTGGAACACTGAGCCGGCATTTTTTTTATTTATAATTTATTTATCATTGGAATCCCATAATTAAAAGATGAATTCATGATGCAAAGAATTCGGACAGATTATTTTGCATATGTGAATGTATCTTTCTTTATCAGTGATTTTAACTACACAACTAAGAATATAAATCAAAGTCATACCATTCGTTGACATTCCTAAT